TTGGGAGTAAAACCATAACAAGATTTCTTTGTTTGGGCAAAGCATGTTGTTTGAACATGGCAATTATATTTTGTTAACCCAGATTTAAGATTAAGTATGATGTGTGATCCCAGCCACGGACACATGACTATCCAACCATGTTTTGGACATTTGTCTTCCATGAATATAAATAGATTAGATAGATTAGATCAGGGGTGTCAAACTTCCGGACCGCGGGACGGTTTCATCATACCGGAGCCGCGCCCACCCCATTGCCGGTAATGGCGAAAAAGCTCCGATACGTTTGACATATCTGGATTAGATACTGTAGATAGATAGATAGATAGATAGATAGATAGATAGATAGATAGATAGATAGATAGATAGACAGACAGACAGACAGACAGACAGACAGACAGACAGACAGACAGACAGACAGACAGACAGAGATGGATAGAAACAAATAGATGGTATATACAGATGAGAAAGAGAGAAGGAGAAATGTGTTGTGTGTGCATTACAAATAAATAAATGTTAGTAAAGCATTATTCACTTAAATCACAGATAAATGTGATTTGCCAATATCTGGTCTTGTATTTAAGGAAAAGCTACAAAATTGGTGAATACAGACACAAATTTCACTTCCAAAATACACAGCAGGCAGCTGCATGTCCAAAATCTCTGGCATCTCCTTTTAACACCCTTAACAGATGTTAAAAATAACAAATATTTTTAAAAATGTCTGATATAAAGGGATTTTGACTGAATAAGAACAAGAATGAAGAGAGCAAATGAATGGAATGGCTGGATCATCTGAAGTGATCACTCACCAAACAGCTCCAGACAAAAGTTGACCTCTTCAGCTGCACAGCTTGCAAGAAGTGGAAAAACGACTTACTCCAAATAAGCATTGCATTGCTGTGATAAATATCAAGGGGAGTAGGATGCAGAGAAAATGGGCCCTTTGCGGCAGAAATGGGAAGCCAATTTTGCACTCCACTCCTAGTTGGCACCACAGAGAGTCAAGGTTGATGGGAGCTGAAGTCCAGCAAGCTCTGAGGTCTATTTGAGGAGTTCCTGCCTGTGTCTTCTGAACTGGGTCACGCCGAACAAAGAATGCCTACCAGTATAGTTCACATTTTTTAATAACATGGCACAGATTTTACATTACACAAGGCTTTGCTCATGAGGAAAACATGCTGTGGATTGAATGTCGCTTCAGAGTTGTTGATTTTTCTTTTTCACATAAGATTTAGAAAGGACTTTATTACATACAGGAGAAACAGCAAAAAAGATTTGTATATAACAATATTTTTATACAATACTGAAAGCTATCACTACAAGTGCCAGTGTACATATTTTTCAGGATTCTCTCTCTTTTTTTTTTGCTTTGTTTTGTCTTGTTCTTTAAAAAAAAACACTGCACAACATCTGGAGTTCACAAAATCTGAAGTTCACAACTAAAACTTTTTAGTTGACTACTAAAATAGATTTTTGATCATTAGAAACAGCGGTCTGCAATAGACTTTTTTTTTTCTTTTTGTCAAAACAGGAGAAACAATTTGAGATATCACTTTAACACTAGAAGACCAATGGAACTATTTTCTTTTAATCCCATACACATATTTTTACAGTTTATTAGGAGGCAAGGTACTGTACGCTTTCTGATAAAGTCATATTCTCTCCAAAGTATTTCAAAACAGAACTCAGCACTTAAAAACAAGACTTAGGAAAACAGAAGCATTGAAACATATAAAAACAATTCCTACTTAGGGGAAAAAATGGAAACTTGCGATTTCTTTTTGCCTGCAATTGATGCTAATCATAGAAATCAAAGTTGTGAACATCATCACATAACTTTGAATACAGGTAGTCCTCGACTTACCACAATTTCTGTTGCTAAGCAAGACAGCTGTTAAGTGAGCTTTGCCCCATTTTACAACCTTTCTTGCCAGTTAAGTGAATTACTGCAGTTGTTAAGTTAGCAACACAATGGTTACGTGAATCTAGCTTCCCCATTTTCTTTGCTTGTCAGAAAGAAGATCACATGACCCCGGGACAGGGCAACCGTCCTAAATAGGAGTCAGTTGCCAAGCGCCTGAATTTTGATCACGTGACCATGGGGATGCTGCAATGGTCGTTAAGTGTGAAACGTGGTCATAAGTCACTTTTCTCAGTGCCGCCGTAACTTTGAATGGTCACTAAACAAATGCTTGCAAGCCGAGGAATACCTATAATGGTATGCACACCCCTAAACTCAAGCAGAGTATCTTTTTTAAATGGTCAGAATCTCATGGGAGTACCAGTTTCAAGCAATTTTAGGGTTCTTACACACACACACACACAAAACAACCCCCCACACACAATCTTCTAAGGCTCCAATCTTCTCATCTGAAAATGCATGAGATTTCAAATGAGATCATTGGCATCTCCTAGACCAGAGGTGGGGAACCTTGGCTCTTTTATGACTCGTGGACTTCAACTCCCAGAATTCCTGAGCCACCATGGCTCAGCTTGGAAAGCTATCCCTTTCCCCTCAGCATGGCTGGCTCAGGAATTCTGGGAGTTGAGGTCCACAAGTCATAAAAGAGCCAAGGTTGCCCACCCCTGTCCCAGACTGACTGATCTCATGAAAGTTAAGCCTTTTCTCATTTCTGGAATATTCAGGGGGATCCTGTGGTTCCCAGAGGGAGTTACAGGCAACATGGTGCCGTGGCCCTCTTTTGCTCACTTCTACATTGATGGGACGGTGGAAAAACATTAACATAAATGTACTTATCTTACCAACATTTCCGAAGAGCTAATAGCAGACTTCTGTACCTAGTCAAAAGTATATCCGTATAACAAGGCTTATGCCTATGTTAATGGATGTTCAACTAGAGTCTGAATGTGGGAAAAGGGTTAAGAAAATTGGTACCCAACCCAAAAAACAGTGATTCTTTTTTCCCAAATGGCAAAGATATCCAAATTCCTTAAAGAGTTCCAAGCTGCTAGTCCATATAGCACCAGAGGTATCAGGTTTACCACAGATGGCATTTAGAAAAGTGGAGGTTAATGTTATAAGGCCCAGCTCTAGACTCACACAGGCAACATGGTGTACTGCAGTTGTTTTGGGCTCCAGTGCCTATCAGATCCAACCAATGTCAAAATAATAGATGTTTCTGCCAAAAGTATTGAAGCATCAGGTGCCCTTTGTTTGCTAAGTTTTGGAGGCAACTAGAACCACTAAGGCAATGCCTGAGATCAATCAGTTGCCCACCAAAATTTGGACTACAACCTCCATCATTCATCTCTGCACAACACTTCCTTACTTGCCTAAACTTAATTCGGGAATTAGGTGCAAAAATCTGGAGGTAAACTCACCAAATGGACCAGATTTTCATAGCATCTTAAATCACAAAACTAAAAAATTAGCCAAGGTCGTTATTGGGCTTTAATTACCATGACCTCAAAAAAGGGCACAAGTACATAACATCAGGGGTTATCTGGGAGAAAGGTTAGAAAGTCAAATGGCAGCTGTGGCTGCATGATCAAAGTCAGGCCTATTTTTACAGACTTTGCACCAATAAAAAAATAAGTTGGCATTCATCATGTCATGACTGCCATCTTGCCTTTTCTGACCCCCCCTGGGCAGATTAGCTGATATAAGTGTCAGTTTTGTTTCATGACATTCATTTTGTCACTTGGCGAAACCTTTATTTATATCAGGGTTCTCCAAACTTGGCAACTTTAAGACTTGTGGACTTCAACTCCCAGAATTCCTCAGCCAATCATGCTGGCTGGGGAATTCAGGAAATTGAAATCCAGAAGTCTTAAAGTTGCCAAGTTTGGAGAACCCTGGTTTACACTCTAAATGATGGATGAAACAAGGATGACCAAAATGGGCCAAGTCAGGACAATTAGCTTCATTTGATAAAATGGAAATGCTGTCAAACAGTAATTTCCCATGAATTTAATAATTTCCACAGTTTGTAATTCAAAGTTGGCAGAAAACCTGGAGGTTGAGCGGGGGAGGCAGATTGTGAGTCCCCTTCTCTTACCCACTCCTCACACTTTATAAGGCCTAAAGAGAAGGACAGCCCAGACAGTAATGCTGGCTAGGTTATTGGGAGTTAAATTCAGAGTGCCCTTGGCTCCTCTAAATGGATTTCAGCAAAAATGGCCTACTTCTGAGTTTTAAAGTTTGATTCACAGTGACTCAGGAACAGCTATGGAGAGGCTGGATGTAATCTAACATTGTACAACATTTTTCAAGTTAAGAAAAAGAAACAACAAAATACTAGCTAGCAAAAAGATTTTTTTTAAAAAAACAGGTAGGAAAAACAAACAACAGGTGAGACCCAATTTCTATTTGTTGAAGATGAAGATGGTTTATTTCTTCATCCCAAAGTTATCAGTGATGTGTGGGTTTGTTTAGGGAAAGTATGACTTTATGTGTGGTTGAGTGTGTTGACAAGGCGCCTTTGAGTTAAAGAGGCTTTTGTGAAAAACTTCAAAATTAATTGCATAGCTGAAGGGGTTTAGCTGTCTTATGACATTAGGTGTACCGCAGCTGCGGCCTTTCACACAATTAAAGTCTGCAAAGAGCACAGTTTAAGAAGTAGTAATGCATTATGTTACTTTTTTTCTTTTCCTATGTACATACTTACAAAGTAAAGCTTTCGTCTTACCCCATGTTGCATATATGACCCACTAACCCATGAAATAGCGTTATTTTCAACAACTCTCTTACAGGGGGAGAAAAAATAAAATAGAATAAAGGAATTCTGCTTTTCTTCATTTCAACCTGGAGAGAATGAAAAAAGAGAGAGAGAGAGAGAAGTGGAAAGAGGGAAGATGAAATACTGACTTACATCTTGTTCTGGTTAGGAACAGTAGAAAGAAAGAGCATTTACGTAGAAAATGTGCCAACTTTTGTCTAAAAGGTTCTGAAAACTTTTTTTTTCAACATATAATATACAACCCAACCATATTTTATTTTTATTTTTTTGGAAGAAAAAAAAAACCAAGAAAGAAAAGAAAACCTTAGTACACCTGGGTCTGTACATTTTATACAGTTGGGTCATAACCAAAGTCTACGTTTATCAAGCAAGAAGATCTGTTTGTCTAATGTTCTCTCTTGGACGTGTTCGGGCTGTTATTTATCGCGCTTCGATATCTTTGAGAGTGTGAGAGGGTGGCCTGTCCCTCATTTCTGACGACAAAGGTGTAGTCCTTCGGGGGGAACCAGGCCGAGGTCCTAGGGTGGAAATGAGAGGGGGAGGCGCGCTCAGGGCCGCTGTGGGAGGCGTTTTATTGAGAAGCCCATTCTGAAGTCCTGAAGGGGGACTGACGCGAGGGTAATGCATACTAGGAAGTCCCGGAGTAATTAGACTTGGGTGAGCCAAGTGACCGTCCAGGGCCACGGGATGCACAGAGTGAAGCCGAACGTGCTCATAGTCCTCTCTGAGCATGTGCAACCTTTCTCTCTCATCCAAGTGGGCTCCCCTTTCGTGCTCACGGCGGTGGTCAACCGAAAGGGGGTGGTGGTGATGATTATTATAGTCATGTGGCTCTCTGTCCCTGAAAGATCGCTCTGCGTCATACAGCCTTGGTGCGGAGAGGCGGTGCAGCGGATCATTCCTTAGGAGAAACTCCCTGCCCAAAGGGTCTCTACGATGGATGTCTAAGTCTCTGTAAGGGTCCCTCAAGTGGTCTCTCATGGGGTCCCAGTGGAATGAAGGATATGGGAAGCGTTCGGCCCCTGGAATTGGGCTGATGCCCATAAAAGGGGTCATCATGCGAGTCCTATCTAGACCACTGATGGTGTTCATGGGGTGGATGCCAGTGACACCCACAGTCATGGGCATGGACACTAAAGGGCCTGGATGGACACTGGCCGCGGGCATGGATGGTGGCCGCTCAGCTGGCCGATGGGTTTGTGGTGTTTCAGGAGAAACGTCATGATCTTCCTTCCGCTCCTCTTTCACTTTGACCTCACTCGATTTTTTCAGATTCTCATAAGCAGGCTCATTTTTCTTCTCAGTATCCCGACTCGAGTTGCTGTTAGGTCTGGTGCTTTCTGCAACAGGTGTCCTGGTGTACGGTGAAGGCACCCGAGATGCTTGTTTAGATTCTTCCAACGATCTGTTATCATGGGTCAGACTTTCCTTGTCTGAAATATAATTGTCTTTTGCCTTGTGCTCATCAACACAGACATCCTTCCGTGATTCTGGATGATCCCTCTCTCGCTCTTTGGGCTTCTCTTTTTCACGAGCCTCTGAGTTCAGGTGGCTTCTGATCTGTTCAACTGAGCTGCGGTTGTGTCCAAGGGAACTCACAGAATGGATAGGCGCTGATGAAGGGTGGCTTGAGTGTCTTTTCTCAATAGTTTCCCTAGAAGTATTAAAAAGCACAAAAATTAACACAGAAGAAAGCTTACGGAGATGCTTAAGGCCAATTTTTTGTACATGTCCTGTGTAATTATAACCTGCCTAGTATGGATAACAAGTTCCAGTTCCTAACAGTTTCAGATGGTTTGGCCAAAGATCAGAGCTAGTGAGGATCAGACTCCAACATCATCTAGAAGGCTTCTATCTCCCTGCCATTTGTATATCAAAACAGCACTCCATAACCTGGCACCTTCCAGCTCATTCACATATTTAGAGACAGATATTTAGAGACAATGGGAGTTTTAATCCAAGCAAACTTGACAGCTGTAGGCTGTGGAAGGTTGCATTAAAGCCTGATTTATTTTAGTGGTGTTGACACAAGGCGTCAGTTCCAAATGGGGATGCCAACACATGCTTCGTGTTCCTAATAGATAGCATCCTCCCTCAGAAGACCTCTATTCCATCAGAAGCTCAAATTCTTTGGCTTCCAAATGAGAAGAGAGGAATCATTGGAAAAGACCCTGATATTGGGAAAGATTGAAGGCAAAAGGAGAAGGGGACGGCAGAGGATGGCTAGATAGCGTCACTGACACCACGAACATGAATTTGGGCAAACTCCGGAAGATACTGGAGGATAGGGGGACTTGGCGTGCTGTGGTCCATGGGGTCACAAAGAGTTAAACATGATTTAGCGACTGAACAACAACATTCCATCAGACATAATAGTTCAGCCAGTCAGGCATCCTGAAACACCCCTATAGATTTATATAAGACCTCCTGGGATACCTAAAGGTATGATTTGCTAGTGGGCCACAGTGTGATAGAATTGTGATTTTTGGAATATCCGTGAGGTTATTTAGAGTCAAATATCAAACCAGTGTGGGTAATATAATGTTGGCAGATATTCCTTCTTGATCTCTTCCCACAAGCATCTTTGTAACTGCACTGAATGACACAAAAGAGTGCAAGACTTGGTTCTAGAAACTTATTTGCTCTTTGGCTTTTGCAATTTGTATTTATTGTTTTTTATTGTTGTTGTTGTTGTTGTTGTTGTTGTTGTTATTATTATTATTATTATTATTATTATTATTATTATTATTATTATGGATCATCGCACAATCAGCCAGATGTTCAGACTGGATTTGGCATTTTGTCTACCTATCGAGTCCTTACCAAGGACCTGGGATAGGCAGATGTGGATGTTTGTAGTATCAGATGTAGAATTGGAAAAGCATCCTGCAATTTAATAATGTAAATTCCTAATTCAAGGGCAGGCCTTCTTTTGTAACAAAAGTAAGACTTTAGTAACTCCACACCCCTACTTGCCTGTGCTGTTCTAGAGATGCACTGAGGAACCAGAAACTCAATATATGTTGGGCACTTGGTTCCAACTATCACGGAAATCAGAAGTAATGTTAGATAAAGTTTAAAGGCTCCTGGTTCCCCACATCAGTTTTGAAAATATTCAAGTTTCTTGAAAAACCAAACTACCCTACAAAATTATCGCGTAAGATGATTCTCCAAATTAAATTGAACATCCAAGATATTTTAATGGTTTGAAATGCAATGTAAGCTAACTATTATTTTGGGTTCAATGAGGAAGCTTTCAGGTAACGAATAAAGGTTGCAATCTTAGTCTAGTATCAAATCTAAGTATTTTGTAGTCATGAAATTCT